TGACTGTTACGAGTCTTTAGTACGATGACGAACGCATATTTGGCGCCAGATTGGGTCAAGGAATCCCAGAAGAAAAAAGAAAAAAAACATCCCAGGGCATTAGGGTATCTCCGGGATTGCTGCTGCGCTGTCCACCTGTGAGGCCGTCGGGGGAACAAGATCCGAGATCCCGGCTGCTGGCGGGGTGGTAGATGGCTCTGTTTTTTTTTTTTTTTTTTATTGGCTCTGTTTTTTCATTCCTTTTTAATTTGGAAAACAAATAGCGCTCTGACAACGGAGTGAAGGACGTGAACAACGGTGGAGGCGCCGATGTGCCCGTGGGGGGGCAGTCTACGGCGGGCGACCGCGGCTTCAATGGCCGCACGGACGGAAGGGGCAGGGGCGGGGCCGAGCTTGTTGCGCGCACGGGCGGACAGACAGCGCGATCCAGGCCGGCGCACGATCAGAGAAGGAGATGGCAATCCAGGCCGGCGCACGATCAGAGAATGAGATGGCAATTGCGCTTGTTAGGGCACGCTCACACTAGGTACCCAAATTCCCAAAAAAATGGGAAAATGGGAACGGCCGTTTTGAGGAAATGTGGCCCTGGCCGGTCACACTGTGTTCCCAACACGCTAAAGACAAGGTCGCGACATCGCTCTCTGCGAGGTGCTTGTGGAGGGCGCCGGTCACACGGTGGTACCTCAAATGGGAAATGCAATTGTTCAGTTTTTACAATCTGTTTTTTCCTTTTTTTTTTTTGGGTCGTTACTGCTGGCAACGGGTGTCCAGACGAACCTCTCTGCTCGTGCTCCGCGCGTCTGACCGCTCCGTGCGTGCACCCATTTCCCCAAATTTCCTTTTCTTCAATTGATAGGCCGCTAATATCGTGGGGTTCCATTTTTTCTCCAATTTTGCACGGTAATTCAGAAAATGATTTGAGAATTTGCGGTAACCTCCGGAGGTCACCGCAAATTTCCTTCCCCCGCGGCTTCGCAGGCCGCTGACAAATGGTCACCCCTTTTGAGAATTTGGGCAGATGTTCGCCATGTGCGACTGTCCGGGAACCCTTTTTTTGGGGGAAAATGGGGATTTGGTACCTAGTGTGAGCGTGCCCTTAGGCCGCTTCTGGCTGTTGCAGCAGGAAGGGGGGGACCCCGGCACCGCGCATGAGGTGGCGCTTGTTCTTCAGAGCTCGCAGCACGACCAGAAAGAGAGAGAGAGAGGTAGGGTAGTGAGAATTGGGTGTCCGACGATGGAAGAAGCCCCCGCCTAATGTGGCTGAATGGCTACGCGCATGAAGCATCTTCTGAGGAACAGACAGGTAATGAGTTCGAATCCTGCTGTAATCAGGTACGAAAGCGAAAAGAAAGACAATAACAGGCTATCCCGCTATAGGGGAGCGCGAAGGATTGGTTATATTGCAGTAACAACAAGCTGTCATGCCGTAGGGAGACTGAATGACAACGAAAGAAGCTTAGCTCCTGCCGTGGGCGGTTGGTTATATTGCAGTAGTATTATGTGATTATAGTGGTCTCAATCATAGCTCCAAGTCCTCAAGAGCTTCGTAAGCGAAGGGGTGTTCAGACGAACGAAGAGCTTGGTAAGCGAAGCGGTGTTCAGACGAACGACGAGGAGGAGGAGGAGGAGGGGGTTAAGTGTGCTGCGTGTTGGCACGGTTCTCCTCTTGTCAAGACGAGGGTGATTGCTGCTGCTGCTGCTGCGGACAGAAGTCCGCATCATTTGGCCGTGGTTAACGACGGCCCAATAAAAGGGCAACCTCGGCTTGTAGGACTTTGTCGGCCCAATTTGGCCGTAGTGACAGAGTCGAGCACAGTCAAATTCTTGATATTGGAGAGTACTCTCGAAATGTGCAAAACGAGAGTGAATATTCCGCTAGAAGATGGAAAGATACACGTCCATGATTTTTGTCTTTTGTGCAATTCAAGAGTAGTGCAGCGAGGCCCGATGAGAATGTCATTGCCCTCGGTCTGTCGATCTTGCAGATCAGCTTAGCGAGAGTTTGAGGATGAGAGTGTCATTGCCCTCGTGAGGTCTGTCGATCTTGCAGATCAGTTTTGCGAAGAAGTTGATTGAAGGAGATGGTGATTAGGATGGATGAGTCCGCATCACCACTGGGGCATATGCACTCAGTGTTTAGGACTTTTTGCGGCCGTATTTGTGTTGTATCTCCGGGCAAATGCAGTCAAGTTTCTTGATTGTGGAGAGTCCGGGTGAGCGGGTGAGAATGGCATTGTCCTCCGTCTATCGGTTTTGTCGATGAGTTTAGCGACGAAGTTGAAGGAGTTGAAGGAGTTGAAGGAGAGGGAGATTAACACTGATGAGTCATGGCACGCTGTTGCTCCTGCAGGCGAAGTCCATTACGCTCTGCAGTCGGCATCATAACGAATACCAAGTCTCACTGCTTCAGAGAGGCGGAGGTTGTCTGTGATTTACCCCTCTCCCCCCCTCGGCCCCTCTCTCTCTCTCTCTCTCTCTCCTCTCCTCTCTGTTTCTCTGTGGCACTGCGCTGGATCATTAGCCCCTCTGTACGCTAGAGAGAGATCGAGCGACACCATCGGCAGGCAGGCGAACGCGACGCAGCCAGCCACGGAGCAAACCTTCTTTTTTATTTGGTGTATATATATTTATCTAAGTTGCAACGTTGCCTTTTTTTTTTTTTTTTTTTTTTTTTTTTTTGACGTTGCCCTTTGTCCGGCCAGTCGTATTGCGTCTGAGGAACGAGAAAAAAACGGATTTGTGACTTTGCTCTGTAGTCTATTCTCAATACGACCCGATCAATGACAATTCTGGAAGGTCGGGTGTGCATAAAACCAGCTGCGGATCTCCCGCGAAGCTGCGCCTCTTTGTCAGTGTAGGCGGTGGTTGGGGGGGGGGGGCGCTATGGAGCGCCGCTGCTACTGCTAGGCATGTTTTTCGCAGGTCGTCTTTTTTTTGCTGATGAGAATTTTTGCTGATGAGAATTGAGGAGGCGCCGGCGGCGGTTGCGGCGGCGGCTGTCCCCAGGAGTAAGGAGGCCAGATCCCACTAGCCCCTATTGTTCTTTTCTGACCGTTGATCTTCGTAATCGAGGGGAGGGTCAAAAATGAATAATCCAGGGTAGTGGGATCTGACCCTAAGGCGAATGAGGTAGAAGAGTGGACGGGAGTTCTGTCCGCTTGCTACGGAATAGGTAAAAGCCAAGGGGAGGGGAAGGGAGGGGGGGGAGGTAAAAGCGAAGGGGAGGGGGAAGGATCCATGTCTTTCTGCCCGTGGGGAAATGGTGAGGGAAACCGAAGGGCACACTCAGGCCGGTTCGTCGTCCGCGCAATCTTGCTGATCACGACGGTGCCAAATTGTCCACTAAGAGTGAGGAATGATCATATGGTGGGAGGAGGTTTTTTGCCTACCCCTAGTGAAACGGTGCTACCGGTAGGGAGGAGAGGTTTTGCGTTGGGGGGAGTGGTGGTTTAAATGGACTCCAATCTATTCGTTATGTTGAGAATATGGAGTGTGCCGAACGATAGCAGTATCTTAGACACGATCTGTAAGAGGTGGTGTTCTTCGTGATTGTCCTCGCTGTCGGAAATTTGCCTAATCAAGCATTGCCCGATGAAGAATGATGCAGAAATTTTGTACGTTTTCGATGATTGTCCTCGCTGTCGGAAATCCTCAGACTGATACTTACGAGATTTTGTACGTTTTCGATGATGCGGTAATCGATAAATACGTTTTGGATGATGCAGTAATCGATAAATTTGCTCCGTTCTCTGATCCATGGTCCTTGATTTTTTATTCTTTATCTTTGATCGTCGGTTCTTGATCCTTGATCGTTGATTCTTGATCCTTGATCCTTGATCCTTTTGATTCGTGATCCTTGATCCTTGATGCTTGATCCTCAATTCTTGGTCCTTGATCCCGTTGATTATTGATTGTTAATCCTTTATCCTCGATTCTTTATTCATGATTGTGGGTTCCTGATCCTTGATCTTTGATTCTTGATTCTCGATCGTTGATTCTGATTCTTGATCGTTGATTCTTGATCCTCGATCGTTGATTCTGATCCTAGATCGTTGATTCTAATCCCTGGTCGTTGATTCGTAATCCTTATGCGATGGTCTTGGATCCTCGATCGCTGATTCTTGATTCTTGATCGCTGATTCTTGATCCTTGATCGTTGATCGTTTATTCTTGATTCCGAACCTGTTCAGGCATAGCCTTGCCTCGGCAAGATACTGTAATTGCTCTTTGAGATTTTTGATGAACTTTTGATCGATTTGATTGATCCAGTGCCTGGGTAGTACTCGCTGTTTTTCTTAATTGTCTTTTGGTCGGTAAGTTTTGATCTGCAACCTTGATCGGGGCCAAATTCGACAAAGTAATCAAGGCCTGCTCTACTCAGGCGCGCAACCTTCTTGATCGGCGGAATTTGACAAGGTAACCAAGGCTTTAGTACTAGCTCTCGTCTTCGAGAGAGGAGAGGTTTGTTGTACAGAATGACATTTTCTTAACGCGGAGGAGGGGGATGCTTGTATGATATGATGTTCCTTGCAATTTGGTTCGGGGATGGATGGAGGGTTGTCAAATAGCAACAGCCATAGCTCGCAGATTACCTACCAGCTCCTGAAGAGGAGGGCAATCCCGCAATTTGGCAGCATCGAGCAATGCGCAGGTCTTTAAGTCAGTGAGTCGGTCGTCAAGAGATAGAGATGCAGATCTGCTCTAGGAGGATTTTGGCCGCCTTGTTTATTTTCTTTTCTAATGAAAAGAAATCGTGCATTCCGAAGGTGGCGTGAAGATTCTTGAACACGATGAAGATCTGCTGATGTGCTGTCCACTGCTGCGGGGTTGAATGGAAAGGGGTGACGATTCCGTCAACATTCGTTTGTCATATGTTCATACACATCATTTACACAATTGCATGTACTTTTGCTGTATTTTTGTTTTTGGCCTTCATCTGTCTGGGTCATGGTAGCAGACATCGTTGGCACTTTCTGACTAGTCTACCGCTATAGGAGGCGCCGTGAAAAGGGAAGAGGAGGAGGAGGAGGAGAGGCCATGCCGTGTTCGATGATGATGCAAATGGCCGGAGCAGATTCTGCAACGTGCGTCTTGAAATCTGTTGAGATCTCGGCTTCAAGACTTGACGCCTCCAATGCTGATAATATGGTGGTTGGACATTCCTTCGATCGTCGTCGCAATGTAGACGATGCTACGTCGCAAGCCGTCACTCGCCTTTACCAAGACAACCTTCTGAGCGTTGCCTATCATCGGCCCTGCCTTTCCCGCCATCATCGCCGTTACCTGCCCGTTCCCGCCATCACGGCGATGGATTTTGACTTGCATTATTTGGTCGCCCTCCGGGTCGGACTCACTCCTAAGGCGTTTTCTTCGCCGCGGTCGATCGTGCTTCTTGCGCTCATGATCGTGTCCCATTACTTCGTTGTACTCACCGACGCCCGGGTTCAATCCTCAGCCATGCCTGATTACCCTCATCTCTCACCCAGCGGCTCCTCGTCTTCTTCTCCGTCTCTTGCTGCCGTCCTTTCGGACTCGCACCGGTCCACGGAATCGGCTTCGCCATCGCGATCGGGACAGATGAGGACGGCGGGACCATCGGCAGCAGAGGAGATCGCGGCCGCTGTGCCATCGGGACCGATGGAGACCGTCCAGGATCAGCTATCGGGATCGGAACCGCTGGGGGCGCTTGAGGTGAACGGTTCTCCAGATCGCCTTCATAGTGGGCATCATCAGCCGGGATACGACAACGATTCTTCGAAGATGCGGACGGTGATGTGGGGTGTGATTGTCGCGGTCGCAGTGCTAATCATCAGCGCTGTCTCGTTTGTCGTTCTGTGGTCTTGCTGGGGGGGTAGCGGTAGCAAAGGGGCCGCGATGGGTGAGGGTGAGAGTAGGGAGCTTGGGACCCCATCAAGGACGGGTTGTGTCGACGGAGCCTCTGCAGGGCATGTCCGACCTGGATGTTCGCCGGCTCCGGCGATCGTCAGAGCCTTGTCCTGCTCGAGAGAGGAGAGCGCGTTCTACTCTGTAATCAAGCAGCAGCAACAGCAATTGGACCGATCGACGGAGGACGAAGCACCAAGGGGGAAGAAAAAGCCCAACGAAAAGGGAGGCGATGGCGATGACGACGGAGTAGAGAGAGATCTGCGAGACGGAGAGGAACAGTTTCTGGAAGTAGTTCTTGAAGGTTCGGTGGGGAGTAATACTCAGGACGAGCCACGTGGCGGGAATCCATTGCGTCTTTTTGGCGGGGGATCAAGCACGGCTGCGCTTGGCCAAGATTCCCCTGCTGCTCCGATTTGCGTCCACATTCATCAAGAACCGGCGGACGGCGGTAATCCTGCCGGTCGGCCAATTGACGGGAAATGGGCGACCGATGAGAGAGAGAGGAGACATGCGCCAGAAGAGGGTGTCAGAGAAAGGAGGGTTGGTAACGAGGAAGATTCGAGTTGGGGTGCGAGTAATGCCACGTCCGATCGTCAAGATAGGATGACAGGTGTCGAGCTGAGGGACGGTATGATGATGACAAGTACCGAGTTGAAGGAGCAGAAGATCACTATGTCTCCGAGCAGGGACAGCCTCCGCGGTGTCCTCCACTGCACCACGAACAGGTGTCCAGTATGGCAAGAAAGTAGCTGTGTGTGGGAAGAGGGGCAAGTTGTGGACGAGGAGAGGGAGGCGGCGGGTTCAGGGGCCGGTGGAGGGAGAAAAATTGGGGTGGCGGGTGTTAATTATCAACAACAAGGTGAACGAGTGATGACCAAAAAGACTGGTGGGAAATTGAATGGCATGGCATTGCAGCAAGTCGATGGCGGGAAAACGAGTGACGTGGCACTGCAAGTGAAGAGTTTTAGCCATCAGCCTCCGCTAAGCTCCGGCTCCGGGCGGAGCTTAGCTCAGGTGGCGCAGCACTCTTCGGCGACAAGTGCCAAGGGAGGAACGGATATGATCCGCAGCGGAGGAGGAGGTGATGGCACAGCAGCAGCAGCAGGAGCTGCAATGTCCTTGTGGACGAAAGATGCTAAACGGATGAAGGAAGATTTGGCCAAGAAAGACCGCGGTAGGTCGAATACCAGAATGTTTGTCAGCCAGATTGAGTCGTACAGCCGAGAGATCGATGCTGCGTAAATCCGGCAAGAGTGTGTATCATTTAATGCATTTGTTCGGCTTTTGGAAGACGTTAGTAGTGATTAATTAGCTCAGCGATGGCGAGCGCGAATTTCACGATGGGTCTATTACAAAAGACGCCGGGAAGAAGAGGGCGTTTGCAGAATGAGACGAAAAACGAAAGGAAGGGCTGCGTGCCTTCCAACCGGCTGAATGTGGATGTCTGTGTGTGTCTGTCCTGTGCGTGTGTGTATGTGGGGAGATAGTGGCGGTGTTGTATGCAAAGCTTGTTTGTAAATGTCTGTGCAGAGGCGACCGGTGAGATTGTTCTCGAGGTCCGAGCTTGCGTGCTTCTGCACGTTGGTTGGGTGATTGGCTTTGAAAGGTAACGCTGTAGAATAATCTGATTCATGCTAGCGTGTGCGATAAGGCAGGCTCCTTGTGTGTGTGTGTGTGTGTGTGTGTGTGTGTGTGTGTGTGTCTTGTGTGTGTGTGTGTGTCTCGTGTGTGTGTGAGAGAGAGAGAGAGAGAGAGAGAGAGAGAGAGAGAGAGAGAGAGAGAGAGAGAGAGAGAGAGAGAGAGAGAGAGAGATCCCAAATTCACTGCTACTATGTGTAAGTTTCGGTTCTCGAACTGAATCAGTCTGTGTGCGCGTGGATGTGGGTGGGTGAGGGGGCGAGAGAGAGAGAGAGAGAGAGAGAGAGAGAGAGAGAGAGAGAGAGAGAGAGAGAGAGAGAGATCCTAAATTTAGTCGCTGCTATGTCTCGGTCCCCGAACTGAATCACGCTAGAGAGAGAGAGAGAGAGAGAGAGAGAGAGAGAGAGAGAGAGAGAGAGAGAGGGATCCCAAATTTAGTCGCTGCTATGTTTAAGTCTCCGTCCCCGAACTGAATCACGCGCGCGCGCGCGCGAGAGAGAGAGATCCCAAATTTAGTCGCTGCTATGTGTAAGTCTCGGTCCCCGAATTGAATAACTGCACGTAGGGTGCGTGTGCAGGGTTTGTGCTCGTGGATATTTCGTCCCGATTCGTCGCGGGTTGCAATCGGGATTGATTGTGGAAGGATTTTGTCCAACGGCTTTTTTTTTTTTTTTTTCTTTTTTTTTTTTTTGAGATCCGACGGCTTTTCCACGTGATGTGGAAGTCCAAAGGTCTCGTCTGATCTTTCTCAATCCCAGATATTGGGATCGAAACGGCTAATCGGATCTCAAATATCGCAATTCCAAGTATTACTCTCAATTCCCCAATCTAAACCACTCTTACGTCTAGTTGAAACTGATTGGTGTCGTTGTCACTGACCGTCTTCACCCCAATTACTCCCGGTCATGGTAGATGTATTTGGTGCGTTTTTCTGTCCATGTGCCTGCTATAATGACCGGGACGATAGGCTGTGAGTCAGGTCACTCTGTGGCTAGTGACAGGTTCTTACTGCCCCTTCGGATTTTTCATCCGTCATCCGTTGGGACGGG